TCGTCTGTGGCAAAAAGAAACATACAAAAGATACGGTTTCTCCGGTGGGGATCTGGGCTGTCAAGCTCTGTATCTTTTGTATGTTTGTTTTTGCCACAAACGAGACTGTAACTGTGGTTCATATGACAACACTTGTTAAATACATTGTAGGAAGATCCGATTGCTCTCTTGGATCACTTTACTTTCTTTTATTGAAGTTGTGGGGATACCAAAAAAGCACAATCAAATATACAATAGATAATATATTTATATATAACTTATAATAATGATAATATACAATATATATAATATATGTATACATATAAAACAATAATAATAAAATATAATATGTTATTGTTGAATTTGACATTTGCTGGAAATCAAACTAATTCCAAATTCCAAAGCATTCAACACCCCTCTATTAGGGGTGCCATTAGCAACCCCTAAATTAATATCAGTTTTAGTTATTATTGTTGTCATTTTGTTTTGTTTTTGGTCACTATAATTGTTACTTTATTTCAATTTTGATCCCATTGGCTAACCTTTGTTTAAAAAAATTCTAATTTAATCTAGCGGCATTTTGGTCTTTTTCATTATTTATTTAATTTCCAATTTAATAAATATTTATTATTATATTATTACTATTATAATATATATGAATATACATATATTTAGTAACTCAGTAATGAACCACGAGAAACCTCTCCTACGGAAGCAACTCCCCCACCCTCTTTCTTTCCCGGCCACTACTCCACACCATTCCTCGGCAACTCCTACACCCATACCTTCTCTTTTTCTAGTATGTAACCCCTTCTCGTGAAGTTAGGCTCCTATACCTCCGGCAGAGCCTTCGGTAAAACCCTCTACTCGATCATGTGTGTGACCCCTTTATCGTAACTCCGGCTCCCTCAACTCTGACCGACCCAATCCTTATTGAGACTCTTTCATCTTCGTCCAAGACCTCACTAACATAAACCCACTGCTCGATCTCTAATTCTCTATCCCATCTGCACCACCCAACTATATCACCGATCTGCACACACTGCACAAAGGTTTTGTGAACCCTTGCCGGTCCTTAGATTTTTGGTGCCCACGGCGAAAAGTCCAAATGATGCCCAATTAAAAACATCCAAGTGTGATAATTTACAATTGTCTAGCTTTTTCCTTCGTAGACCGAGAGATCCATTAGTATTTTTTGTTCATAAGTGTGATCTTATAGTTGAGCGTTTGCTTTAAAATAATATGTTAAGGTTTCATTAATCAAGTTGTTATAGCCCTTGCATTTAAACACCAACTCATCTACTTGTCCAAAACCAAAATAAGGAGCATCATAACACCAAATCGTCTACTTGTCCCAATTTACTACATCCTACATCTTCAGTATAAACGAAAATCAACAATCATACCTTTTCAATCCAACTCTAAATACTTAATTGGTTGGTTCTTCTTCAATTATTTACACTTTACAACATCAATGGTCATTCCTACATCACTAATTTTGTCCTCCTAGTTTTAGTCACTTAAGGTATTTGCCTATGAAATTAGCTATTGCAAAGTTAGTCCATCATGTGTT